TATTACGGAATCGAATATTCCTTGCCACAATTACAGTTCCACGAATACGAATATCGAATATTACAAGAAAAAGAGTTGAAACAAAGGGAGGAAAATTACAAAGAGAGGAAGAAAATAAGAAGAAAAATTAGAACCGTGATATTTGCACAATATCCTTGGATATTTCATCATCGACGTCCTTGAAAGAAACAGGGGCGATTTCTGGAGGGTGGAAATCTGTTCTTAAATGGGCTCGAGGAAAGGAGTTTTTTTTTTTTTTTTTTTTTTTTATTAAGCGACAATCCAAGTTCGCCACGCGAGCATCACGTAACGAGCTCATTGTTCCTCTTATCTCTTTTATCAGCCTGATTAATCCTTGCTCCCCGGGGCCTGTCGATGTGAAAAGAGATCAATTACCAATAGGACAGGACTCTTGCGGCCTCGAAATAACCGCCTCTCGTCCTTCTGTCTCGACCTCCATCTTCTCCAAATGTCAAATTTCGTTTTCTCTTCCCTTTTCTTTTTCCATTTAACGCTAGAATTAACTATTTGTAAAACGTTTTTGAATGTCTATATTGCACATCGATCTCTTAAATAATTATTCGAGAAAAGCGTTTCAAGTAAAAAGAACATTCTTTATTTCAAGAAATATAATTTTCTAAAGCAAATCGATTTTATTAGTAAGAAAAATAGAAGACCTAAGATTGTTTCTCTCTTTTAAACGGAATTATGTTATTTTAAAAAAATATATATTTTAAAAAATTTAAAGAAAAAGATCGATTTGCTTGTCTCAATTATATTCTTAAAATAAAGTAAATTAATTTGAAACGTTTTTTTTTTTTTAAAAAGAACGAGTAGATATTTAACGCCTTAAATTATATTCTCATCCGGTTAAAATCATTGGTTGAATATATTTATATGAAAATTTGAAACACAAAATTGACAGATTTAGTTAATTCTATCGTTAATACCTCTCTTGTTCGCGTGAACAGCTCGTTATCGATTGTATCTGCTCTCCTTGAATAATGTGACCGCGTTTGTTCCGTGTCGCGGACAAATATCTGGAGAATTAAGTATTCATGGTACTCCTGCTTTGCAAGTATAATACCTTTTCCATTTATATTTTTATAATATATTTTATTCCTTCTTTCGCGACACGATGAGCCAAATACCCATATTCCAGACACGAATTGGCTTGAATTTCATAATTCGAACAGATTCGAACAGTATTTCTCCTCGTCCAGAATTCTTCTTCTTTTTTTTTTTTTTAATTTATTTTTTATTTAAACGATTTAAACGAAAATCTCGCCTCGTTGTTCCAGCGTAACAGGGGGAATGGAATTAGATTCACGGGCGTAGATCGCGATTCTAGATGCCGGTTAATGAGCTAATTAACACGGTCTTGCGCGGCGTTCAATTAAAATGATACAAAAGATAGCGTAAAAGCTTGGCTCAGTTTGATCGCTATTAAGTTGAAGCTAATTTGTGTAATGTATTATGCATCGAAATGTATATATATATATATATATACATATGTACACATATATATATATATATACGTGGCGTAGAACCTCATCAACCATGGTATACCGTTACTTGGAACTTGTGCCTAATTAGTTCGGGCTAACGAGGATCGCATTTTTATACGGTTCCTGATCCTCTGGAACAAGGGGAAACTTTACTCGTGATTAATTATTCCGATCCTCGTCAGATCGTTTCGACGTTGTTACATATCATTCGTTGAACGTTTTCGATCAAAATTTGTCCGAACACGGATCAAACTCGATCGAGTTCATTTTTAATCGATAAAATTGAAAATCGATAAATTTATAAAATAAAAGAATTTAGAACGGAATTAGAGAGCAAAATTCATCCTCCGTTTCATTCCCCTGTATCGAGTCACGTTTTTTATTTGTTTAAATTATTAACCAAGTTTCATTCGTGACAAAATTTTTAATTTCGATTCTCGAAACTTTGGTTCGTTGAATATATTTTTCGATTCTCATTTCCGTTCTCACTAGCGTCGAAACGAGTAAGGAACACGATGAAAACGAAAGGTCAATCGAAAGAGCGATTCGTCGCGCATATAAAAATGACCGATACATTCCCAGATTTCACTCGTTCGAGATTCAATCGAAAGAGAAACATCGTGGAACGATGTCGAATACCAAACGAAAGGAAAAATCGTCCCCCTTTAACATCTTCGATCGCATCTAATCAATACACTCCAAAAAAATTTCCCACTTGCACGAAAAATATTAGCTGGAAAGATAAAAAAGCGTGCAGCAAATATTCCACCACGAAAACTTGCAAAACCACGAACATTTAATCCCCTTATACATACATTTTTCTGCGGAAATAACGAGAGATCGTCGATTTTTAGAAACGTCGCCCACCGATCTTCCCGTGCACGCAGAAAAGATACGCAGAAACGTAAGAAATGGAGTATTTTCCACGAAATTAGCGGGGCAGGATGGAAAGAGAGAGCAAGGGGGAGTAATGGCCATCTCTTTTCTCATTTCCCTTTTTCCACGTTGGTCGACTCTTCCACCCGTTTAGATTACACCCGATTCTTATCGCGCGTATTTCCGCAGAAAAATCGTTTTGCATGCCCTCCCTTCCATCACGTTGCGCGCGAGACGCAACACAGGAGAACACACGCACCGGCACGGAATCGTAATCACTGTTCTTTTTCGAACAGTTTCATTTGTTGTGCATCCGCATTTTTACTGCTCCCTCGTCCCTTTATTTCCCCTCTCCCCCTCCTATGTGTATCCTTTGTCTCTTCCATTTTTTTCTGCGCTTCTTTTCCCTTTCTCCACGATTCCACCACCACCATTATGTTACGTTTCTACTCCATTTTACGACACGAGAAACCTAACCTTGGCGTTTCTACCCATGGCGTTTCCACGGGAAAAACACGGAGGTACGGCTATTCGTACGTGTGTGATAAAGTTATACGACGTCCATAAGTCACTTGGTATATTTGGGGACGAATGAATATTGTAATGGGTTGCATTTAGGCTATTGAATATTGCATTGTTCGTATCGCAGACAATGGTCCTCTCGTGGATTATTATTAAATTTTGATCAAGTTTATCGTCAATATAATATCAACTTGAGAAATTTGTAACGTAGAAATTTGAGAACGTAGAGAGAGAAAGATGTAGTTTAGTTGACTGAGAAATTTGGAAAATGATGGAGATGGTAATTTTGATGAAAATTTTAATCATTTAATAAGGAATTATCGTATATTAAAAGAGAAGTTACATAAGAGACCAGATGGATCAACTAGAACTAAACTAGATTAAATCTGCTCTATATTACAGAGTTATCCAACAATCCCACAAACAATTCGTTATACAAACCGCTTTAGTATTGGTATATCTTTTATCACAACAATAGAGAGTTGATCACTAAAATAACTAACTCTCATTACCAAATTAAATCTTCTTAACTCCGTTCAACAATGATAAATATTTCACTTTGTTTCTCGAGAAACATTCACAATTTTTCCAAAACATTTGCAATTCTATCTAATGTATAAGATATTCAATTTATCGAGTAACAAGTATTTTAAAATCTAAATCTAATCTTGTTAATTTTCCCAGAATTCTTGGATGCCAATCTAAAAATTCCAAACGAATTTTCGAGACGAAACGTGACTCACGGGAGCGTTTAAAAAATTAGTTCGAGTTGACCAATGACTTATGGACAACGCTGTAACTCGTTGGCGAAGGAAAAAATGGGAGCTTTACGCCGTCACGTTTTACGAACGGTCCACCCTCTTGAATTCTAAATGGATCAATTTCCACTTACCACGATTTATACAGTCCCGAAAGCGGTTCCTGATACGGCCACCGCTCGAGGAGATTATGGCTACGTTTTCTGTGCCCGCGATTAAAATGCTTCGAGGGTTCTATTACCCCTCCTTCCCTTTCCTCCTTTCTTTCTCGAGATTTTCGTCGTTGGAGATTGTCGATTTCGAGAAGCCGTTTCGTTAATTACCTCCCCCTCCGTACACCTTTGCTATTCGTTTATTATTCGAGGAACGTTGAAGAACACTACAAGCCGTGTTTTTGTTTTATTCTTATTATTATAAGTAAGTGGAAAGGTTTCGATGTTTGGAATTGTTGACAGACCGCGACCCAGTTTTAACGCGGATAGTTTATTTTGTTTCGAATTTCGTTGGGACACAGGTTTCGCAGAGACCTATTTCGATTATTATATGCAATTCGATATTAACTTGGCTAATTGATAGTTCTGTTAATCGTTCGGTTTATGTAACTTAAATTTGAATTGGCAAAGGTGGGCGTGCATTAAATCGAGCCGAATTCTGTTCGATATATTATTTACGAGTATTACAGTACGGGGAGATTATAGGAGAAAAAGTTATATTTCGTAATGTTCGCAGGTGGATATTATTTAAAAGTTGGGTGTAGACTTACGATTAACTTATATTTATCGTAAAAATAATATAATAACAAAAAAATTGGAAGAGAAACAGGTTGGACGTGTTTGACCATTTATGAAAGAATTTCTTACACTCCGGAATATTAATAGCGTGTCTCGAAATCAACGTATGAAAGACAAAATAAAAATAGCTTATATAGTGATTATTTCTCCAATTTTTTTTCAACTTTGAAATATTAAAAAAAAAAATCGTCAAAATTCGATATTTCTTCCACGATCTCTTGACTCGAAATATCCAATATTTTCGGAGAAAAAAAGAAAAAAATAAGAGAAAGAGAGGGGGAGGAGGAAAAATTTCGTCAATCCACGAAACTAAATTTCTACGCGTATCCATTCTCTCTCGGGCGAAAGATAATTTATTTAAGTGCTCCCATTTTTGACGCCATCGCGTGCCTCTCGCGAAATCGAATCCCCTCCGTGGTAAAACATTTTTTGAAGGAAAAAGTTCGAAAGGACCCGCCCTGGGTGGAAGGTTTTAGCTAGCACTGGTCGCGGACCAGTCGCCAGGCAGCTTCCGGCCTGATGGAAAGTCTGTGAATTGTTCCCAGGGGTGGGTGTCTACATTTCGAGGGTGGAGGAGGGTTCGGTGGCCGAACGTGCTGGACTCAGGCCAGGAGACACCATCTTGGAGGTGAACGGCACACCCTTCCGGGCGGTGACCCACGAGGAGGCCCTCAAAGTGAGTTTCTACTTTCATTTTCCGAATCAGAAACATTTCCTCGCTCGCGTAACCGTGTATCAAGCGCGATGGCGTTGCGATTGCAATTCCGATTCTATCGCGAACGTACAACGAAGCTTTTTTTTCTTTTTTTTTCTTCTCTTCTCGAAAATATTTATGAAGTAATTAGATTGCGGATTTTTATGCGAAGCATAAAAGATATGTTTCTGTTTCAATCTTATATATACCTTTGCTTATTTTTACATTTTTAATGTGGAATTATTTTTGGAATCAGTTTGGACATTTTCGATTTTATTGAGAAGATATTTTTTGATAATTATTTTAAGAATAAATATTGATTATCATTGATAGTTGTTTCAATGATTAAACTTGAATTTTTTCATAATTTTTGAAAGCCTAAAAGTGAAAAATAGTTTCAAGAGTAGTATAAAATACTTAAAAAAAAGACTAGAATATTTTAATTAAGTTTCTCTATTATCACTTTTCTTAAATTCAAATTGAACCACTGTAATTCCTTCGAAGAAGGAAAATTCTACTTCTATTGGCCGCACAATCACAATTACAATGAAATCGTCGCGTCAGTGAATCAATGGGCACCAACCCAATCGTGTCGAACCCTTCAATTTTGGAATGTTTCTCTAAACACGTTTTTCGTTGGCTACGTGCCTGATCACAGTTAAAAATCAGTATTAAATCATTCTGGCCATTGGCGTGCAATCGATCGTGCTCGTTTTGTATTTATGAGTGACCTTAAGAGCCACCCCATCGATCGCAAATACCAGCCAGGCTCTCAGCTAGATTATATGGGGTGGGGCAAACGAAATTTCCTTCGATAAGTGTTATCTGACGAACCTTTTCGAGCGCTTTCCTATTTTAAATCAATTCCATTTCTTCCTTTTCCTCTATCTGTCCGACATATCGGTATTAAACTTTTCCAAATATCCTCTTAGAAATTATCGATCGTTTCGCGGATTTCTTTTCACATTCGCTCTTTTTCTTCTTCTTTTTTTTTTTTTTTTTTTTTTTTTACGTATTATAATTCACACGTAACAAAAACTTAATTAAAATTCCTAAGAGAATATTTAACGAAAGAAGCTTATATATTTTAATTTTAAGCTACTCAATTATGTCTCAAGATTTTCAACTCTCCCATCCATTTTTTTTTTTAATAAAATTTTAATTTCAGTTCGCGATGAAAAAGAAATTTGCAGGAAGGAGCCGGGAGTGCAGTGAGATATTTATTTTTCGCTGGAATTAAAAAAAAAAAAGAAATTCGAAGATTCGTAAGTAGGAATACAAAAGTAAAAAGTTATCTCGAAGGAAAACCGTTCCTCGTTATTCTTTCTTTCGTTACGATCGATAAGAGAAAGTGTTTCCAACGACTGTATATCTTTGATCTCCGTTCTCGATTATTCGAAGGGCTCTCTCTCGTCACTTGTCAAGCTTCGTTCTTCCATACTTTTCTAATTCAATAGTTCTCTTTTAATTCGCATAATTTCCACGCCTCATTGCCACGAATCGAAAGAGATCGATTTTTTTCAAAATTATCCCCTCGAAGATGAACTGGATTTTGAAGAGAGAGAGAGAGGGAAAAAATTTCTCTCAAGACACTCTCTCGCGTTATTTAATTTAACTTGGAAGCGAGATTACGCAGGCTGGATCGCGCCGGGTTATAGCAAAACTTTCAACAATATTACCGTGTTTTATAAAAGAGGGTTAACCTGCCTCGAGCGTTGCCTCGAAATATCCTTTGAACGATTTATATCGTAATTTTCGACATAACTCTTATAATAATAATAATAATAATAATAATAATAATAATAATAATAATAATAATAATAATAAAAAGAATAAAACATTCGTTGATAAAAGTTTCTATGATACAAACTCGATGAGAGATTATAAAGAGAGAAAATAATAAGAAAGAAATACGTGGAAGAAAATTTTTACAAGATCTCGTTTCCTTGCAAAATGACGTCATTGTGTATCGTCTTGATACTTATTGGCATCGGATTCCCGACCTCGAGAAATAACAATGGAACACAAGAGCCTTAAATTCTTAGAGGAGAAAATATCTCTTACGCGCAGAAAATTTGCGTGGAGGGACACGAATCGAATAGATGTCTTCGTGTCTTAAGAAGGGACTGTACCAATCTCGAAAAGGAGAGGTTCGAAAAAAAAAAAAAAATTGTTGTCATTCATGGAGAGGGGAAAAGAGTAAAGATTTGCCATTTATTAATTTAACGAGTAATAAATTAAAAGAATATTCGTATGCCAAACCATTTTCGTTTCCACAAAACTGAAGCGAATCGAGAATCGACTAAATCGAGGGATAATCGAGGTGGAACGTTCCCTGAAAAAGAAAGAAAAAAATAGAAAAAAAAGAAGGAAGAGAAGGAAGAAGAGAGGGTTCGATCGATGGCTTCGTTGGATGGACCACGAGGTCTTTTTGGCCAGATCGTCGAGGCCTGAGAATTTCGCGGCGTGGAGCATGAAAAAATGGCGGAAAGGAGGGGGCGAGAGGGGGATGGATGATGACTATCGACTGGCCGGATGGAAGGAAGCGTCGCTCGGAGCCACGCCACGAGTAATCTCTGGTGTAAACGTTTCTGATGGGTATCTCTGGGGATCCGGTGGCTCGTCATACTCTCATAGTAGCTCGGGAGTTTCTAGACAAAAGCACGTCGACAATGGGCCATCAGACTGGTTCGGTGAAGAGGCACGTAGCTCGGTGAAAAACCGCCTCGAAATTTTCGAATATACGATCCAGGTGTCCTTCTTCTTCTTCTTGTTCTCCTCCTCTTTCTTTTTATTCTTCTTCTTCTTCTTCTTTTTCTTATTCTTCACTATCGATGCTTTACACACGCTCTCTCGATACTTGGAAACAATAAAAATAATATATTCGACCCTGTTTCAGGGTTACAGGCATCTTCATGATGGAGAGGTTGCTGAGCTAGAAGTGGAGGATTATGCATTCAGATTACTTTGTATATAACACGGTTGTTCGATATTTCATCGATAGGAATTTAACGAGGCGTCGTAATATTTCTTTTCTTATTCCGGTGCCAAGCTTTTCGGTCCCGTTTCTTTGTTCTCGTAATGGAATTGTGTTTATTTTTTATTCCTCGTAATATCTCCACTTTTTATCTGTTTTATGATATTCGATATTCGACGATATTGAAGTCAAGTTAGGTTGATTGGCATGTAATATTACCCGTCGAAATTTATTCGAATTAAAAACTAGAATTTAGTTTATCCAATAACTAACCATATTGTCGTCGTTTTAAATATATTCTACGGATTGTTTAAAATCCTGTTGTTTAAAATCTTGAAAAAGAGGAAAAGGATCGTTTTCGACAACATTGAAAGCCTCTCGAAACAATCGGGAAGAACTGTCGTTCTCACAGACATACCATCCCTAAAAGTCTGCGTTGCAGATTCATTCCAGCTTGGAGAGAGATATCGGTGTCACCCCCTCCTCCCTCTGTTAAGAAGTTATTGTATTTCTGAAAAGTTAGAGAAATTCAATCTCTCCCGAGAGATGAGACTCGGTGATTCTGCTTACGCTATTCTTTCCACCCTTGGAAACCCCGTGTTTCTATCGAATCGTGTGGCGTACGTGCACACAAAGAAGAGGAATCGAGTAGAATAAACACGATTTCGCGCGACGCAGAGGGATAAATCCGCGGTTGAAGAAAAATCTCAAGGGTCTTTCTCCCTTGCAATTTCGAATCTCTCTCTCTTTCTCTCTCTCGAGTTAAACTGGCTCCAATCTATGAAGAGATGTAAGTGGTCGAATGGTCTGTTCGTTCGACAAATAACGGCAAGGTTGTTGGAATTCTCGACGTGGAAAAGCTAGTACGAAGGAAGGAGAAATAAATGGCGTAATCGAAGGGGATTTGTTAATTAATGGGGTGGCGCAACCTTGACCCAGGTGACTACTACAGGAAATTGGAGGAGCCGCGGATTCCTGAATGATCACGATAGGTCAAACGGTTGACCCAGTTCGACAATCCACGGATTAAGTTTCCGGTGTGCCCGTACCGACTCGTACTGGATAACAGTGTCACCTGTAATCAAAACGAAATTTTCTTGATCCAAGGTCCAGCTCCAATTTCCTACTGGATTTGTTACTACCCCTTATTACTTAGACATTGATTTGCGTGAGAATCTACCATCTTTGAAATTTAAATGTTTCCTCTTACGCTCGTTTGCGCTCGTTACGTTTCCTATATTTTTATTCTTGTAAATAGAATCTCGTTATTAGAAGAATTACTCAATTATCCTGGAATTGGAGGAAAAGGTGTAAAGAATTATTGTCATCAACGAAACAAATAATTAGTAGTATTCGATTTACGAGATGCTGCAAATATTAATTAACTATTTCAACGAATAAGAAAATCAAAATTGAAAATAGAATAAACTTCTATACAGAAATTGTTAAGAAGTCTCAAGCGGATATAATAATAAATATTTAATCAATATTCAAAGACGCGCTCGATGCACTTTTTCTTCATCAATGTACCCAAAAGAAATTACTCTACTTTCGAAGAATTTTTCACCTTCATCAACTATACTAACCATACTAACATCGGATCAGTTCGATAAATATCTTTCTAAAAAAAGGATCTCGATGGAAGTCGACGATGTGAATAGCGTTCCAGGATTGTTTGCTATTTCGAAAGGTTTTCTCTGGAGGACCGACATCCGGCTCCGGTCTGCTTCTCGTCTGACATCGATCGGGCATAAACGCTTGAACGAGCTAGGGATTAAATTGCACGGTTGTCGTAAAGCGTAACGGTGGCCGTGGCTCGTTATTTCGTAATGGGTTGTAAGGGTAGGGGCGAGGAGGGAAACGCGCGAAAAGTTTGGCGGATTTATGGCGCGTTTTTCCATCGAGTTCATTAAGGGAGGAGGAAAATTTAGGAGCTCCTGCTTCGAACTTGCCAAGTCGAGGATGCAATGGACTTTTTGGGGGGAATTAGCATGCCGTTAAAGTG